GATCCTTGCAATTCCAGAATGATATAATGCGAAATAATACAACTTTTTTAATAGCAAATAAGGTAGCCAACATTGAGATGAATGCCAGCAATTCCAATATGATCAACAATGCACGACTTTGACAAAACAGCTCATACTGCTGTGGTGAGTATCGAAGAAGACCCGAATGAGTCCATATGTACACCATGACGCAATTGAAGCTGTGCCTATCAATCAAAATTTTGTAGAAGGATCTTGGTTTGGACGTTTAAAACGCTCAACACCGTGCAACAATTAAAGCCGAACGACCATAAAGCAAGTCGCACGTTCGGTGAATTGACCCAGATGTCCAACCCCGATTTGCGCAAGAAAATAAAACTCACTTTGGGTTGAATAGGTATGTACATTCTAAAGAAAATTTTCGCTTTTGGAATGATGATAATCCACAAGCCACGCCATTACATCCTCAAAAAATGAAGTCGTACACAATGTTACAGTCAATGGAGAACACTATAGAGCCATGATTAAAAACTTTTTCGTGTCTGCATTGAAGAATATTGATGTGAATGAACTGAGATTTGCACAAGACGGCGCTACATACATATATAACATACAGTCAACGAAAGAATTAATTTATTGAAAGAAACTGCTGGTGAACTAATTTTGCTTATTAACACCGCCTGGCTATTTTTTGGGCTATTATAGAAAATTTGGCCTCTCGGCCGCGGCGATCAAATGCCGAAATCAATTTAAATTTTAATTATACGCATTTTATTTCTTTTTTAAAATCACATGTCTAAAAAAAAAGAACCCTTTACTTATTCTCTCATTCACATCACCGAGAGCGCAATGTATAATACAATATATAATATGACATTTCTACAAATATTTTTTACAAAAATACTATCTCTTTCATTAAAAGGAAATGTAATATTGACGTTGGCTTATCGAACGGTCGTCATAACTCTTCCAACGAATTGGCAATATCAGTAGGCAGAAAAGCTAATAATAACTATCATATTTACACAGATATGTTGTTGTGGCCGACTAAGGCTTTACGCACTAGAAATAAACAAATAAGTGTAAAACTAAAACGATATGCAAAGAACTGGAGCACTTATGGTTAATGGTTTGTTTATTTATTTCACGGAAGCTTTTTTATTTGAGAATATGTAAGCTGCTGGCGGAGTATTGAAATAATACCTTTTATTTGCCGGCTTTTACCACCTGGTCAATATTTATGAAAATGAACTTGGCGTGACAGAAGCAGTCGCTTTATCTACTCTTTACTTTATTCGATCTCTAAGTTTGATTTTGTGTTCCGCTATTTGTTTCTTAAGTATCTGGCTCTTATTCCTTGGCATCTTCCATCTTCTTAAGTATCAGTAAACTTAACTAAATATTTTCTGCTAAGACCCTCTAAATCCAGAAAACCAGGTTTACTTCTATCTTTCTTTCAATCTATGACTTAAAACAAATTGCTGACCTCATTATTTGGTTCGAAGTTTTTGGGAGCGTTTTTTAGTTTATTAATGAGTAATCACGACAACTGAAATTCTCTTCTAGTTTTAAATCCTGCGCCGCCTTTTTAGAAAAGTGAACTCTCAATACATTGTACAATGAGCTATGTGGAAGAAAATACATATTTTTAAAATCAATTGTTCTTAAGCTAAGTATAAGTAACCAGAGTATATAAAAAATATAAAAATATATTAATTTAAGTTTACCAACCCTTCAGAAATAACTGAAGACTTTTGAATTGTATAGTAGGCATTATATAATATATACTACAAGTATGTCAAATTTTCTAAAAACTAACAAAGATCGAAGGTACTTTTGATTTCACTTAGAAAATGTTACAAAAGTACTAGAAGGTAAGAATGTGTCAGTTCCTTCGTACTGGTAGTACTGCGCTCTAAGATAGCTGAGACCATAGTAACAGAAAGTTAGATTGGTTCCCGTACAAAGAGAGATTACACTCACATCACAGTATCGTGTTCCTTTTTTATCGAGCCTAGTTGCGGATGAGCTACTTTAGTTGCTAACCAATATAGAAAGAGCGAAGTTCGATAACATTCTCTACGATATCGTGTAAGAGGTTAGCAAAGCGATATGAAGAACAGTTGAAGTGTCGAAAACGACCAAGAGAAAATCCCTAAGTATACTAATGCTTAGCGGAAAAGAGCTAGAGATGACAAATGAGACTTAATACCTATCAACTATCGAATATGCAAACACTTGACTGCGTACGCGCAATGTGAGCAAAGAGTACATTCTCGACAGCAGCATTAGAAGTCATACTGGAGCTCAACAACAGAACATGCGGTGCTTCACATGACAGCAGAAGGTTATGTACAGGTATGGTAACCTTAAGTAAGGAGATATCACTGACTTTTCTACCAAGAAACAGTATTACCAAAATTGAAACTTCTCAAGCAAGTTTGTTCTTTTATTGACGTATACCAATATTAAGTGTGTGTGTGTGTTACCCTGTAGAGGTAGCATCAAGACCATTAGAGTTATATAGTCGAATAGTGATCACATCGTCTAAAGAGCACAGCACAGCAGGATCCTGGAATCCAAGTAGTGGATCATTAGGTCGCGGGGTCTCAATTCAATTTTATCGATCTAAAGTTATATATACATAAAAATTAAAAATATTTCTGTCGGGAACATCAATATGATATTCCGTATTAAAAATATATTATTAACAAACTATGACTTTTTTTTTATATAATATTATGAATGGAGCAGAATTGAGAAAGTATTCCATTTTTAATATTTTCAGTATCATGCTTTTTTATAAATCAATAATTGCTGAATTAAAGAAGTGTGTTGAATTTGCGCTGTCCAACTTTCTCTGAAATCGCTACAAAATTTATTATGTTTAATTTCTCCAATTTCTTTATACTTATAATATACGACGTACGTTCAAGGTGAGTTGTAGTATAAACATTGAGCCAATGATGCGATTAGATAGTGTATTGCACAAACAATTTTTAAGAAAATCGAGTCATACTATAAACACTCCAATCAAAATCAACATTACTATTTTTAAATAATTTCTTTACTATTTAGGGAACTAATTAAATTTTGTACTTATCTAATTAGTAAGTTATTATTTTAAAGTATTTGTTATCAATAATTAGGAGAGTAATCAGGGTAACTCTTTTCTTACCTATCGATACTTTTCCATAGATTAATGGGGAAATAAAGTTTTGTACTTTCCTTACACTTAGAAAAATTTATTATATTCCCCTTTTTCCCTTTTTTAGTTTAGTTTTGTTGCCATTGATATAATATTTATTTTGAAAATTTGTATGAAACTATCAATGATTTTGTATTGTTTGCGTTAGTTTATGTTTAAATCCATATTTCCATTTTACATTACAAAAATCAGAAATCATGAACATAAGAAATATACATACATACATATGTATGCATATATAATATTCGTTTTTATGCGATGTCGAAGTTTGTTGAGCAAAGAATTTGCATTAAATGATCATTTCGCCAAGAACTCAACCTATATCGTTCCGCAACCACCGTATTCACCTGCTCTGGCGCCAAGCGACTTCTGGCTGTTCACCAAGCTCAAAAGACCGCTCCGGGGACACCGTTTTTATACGATACAGGAGATTCAAGCAGCAGCGAAGACTGAGCTGAAGACCATCCCGGAAAGTGACACTACCACCAGTGATTCGAAGATTGGAAAATCCGTTGGCGTAATGTACTACATCTAGTGGGTATTACTTTGAAGGGGATGAAATTGATTTGGAGGAATAAATAAAAAATTTTCAAAACAAATACAATGTCACCCTATTTTTTCTTCTATAATTTTTCGATTGACAGTCTTTTTTTGAGAACCATCAGTAATCTGTCATAATTTTCACAATAATATGTTTTATACCCTCATCAGCGTATAAGTATTAAGTTTACCACGCTATTTGTAACCTATATACCTAGAAGGAAATATATGTCTAATTATCTGTCTGTCTGTCTATCTGTATGTATATAGGGAATCTAGTTTTTCTGTTTTTAAGATATCGATCGGAAATTTTGCACACGTTCATTTCTCTCCATGTAGCTGCTTATTTCTCGAAACCGTCTATAGCGCGCCACTATAGTATAAAGCTGTCAGGCAAACTGAACGATCGGTGATCAAATACTTGCATGGAAATATTTTTCATTTGAAGAGATATCTTCCAAAGCAACATTACTATATTCGATTGTTCAGATCAGACAGAGTTGCCATACAAGCAAAACAAGGAGGTAAGGATGGGTACGAGTATTATAGCTCCAGCACAATCAAATTTTACGTTTGTTCTTGTTTTTAAAGAATATTTAAAATAGTAATAATAATAAAATTCGTTGTATAAATATATTTTTAATTAATCTTCCTAATTAAATAAGAATTAAATTATAATGCAAGTTAACTCACTTATTTTTATTTAAATTAAAACTTATTATAAACAATTCTTTTTTTTTTTATTTTATTCCTTTTATTTGAATTTTCAATTATTTTTCTCAGTGTGCAAAAGCAAACCCTTCCAACATACTGGAATTTATATTTTTTCCACGCCGCAGTTAACTTACATAGGTCTACAGTATTGTCAATACGCTCGGCACTTCTCATTAGAGTTTGACAACTGCTTTCGCTCTCCAAAGCAGTGACGCGCAACTACAGTTAGCTGGGATCCCTCTGCGCACCTAGTTACAGTAAGACGTTACTTGGGTAGATTGATAAGTATGTCTATATAGATATGCGAATAGTTGCTCTTCCAGAGCAACCTTCGTCTTCCAAACCTTCTTAGTGCAAACCGCACCCAATAGCTCTCCCGTACTCCACCACGAACGACACCGCAGCGCTGCGCTGTGCTCCCGAATAGCGCGCAATTATTTTGCCGGTTGATTGCTGTACGCTGTTTGCCGGTAGCAACGCGCTCACCGTTTCATGCTCGTAGCTGCCCGCAAAATGCTTCCCGGCTGCGATGCAGCGCGCTCTGCTCAACGTATTTAAGCGCTGAGCGCACCACACAACCTTCGTAGTCTGTTCAGAAACACTCGTAGGTTCAGCTGTGCAGTAGTAAAAGGCTTCAGAGGATTCGGTTAATGTGCGTTGTTAGCTTCAAAGAAGATTTCTGCTTTTCCAATTTGATTCAGTTTTTAATTTGTAATTATTTTATACATGTTTTTTATAGTTTAAAGAAAAATTTAACGCATATTAGGTGAAAACGTAATTCGATAATTTGGATTTAAGGTAAGAATATGCTGAAATAAAAGACATAATTTATGAAAAAGGAAAAGAGTATAAAAATGCTTGTTGCTGGAGTGCAGCGCTATCTTGCAGACCTTAAAAAATCATAATTAATAAAGAGTTAGTTGATAAAAAAAAATATATTTTAGCATTCAAGCAAACAGTGTTTAATGATGTAATATTACTAAACAGAAAAAGAAAAAGAGAAAGAATTATTTACTTTTTGGCGAATTTATTTTTATATTTTCGAAATCGAGAAAGTGTGTTCGAAAGCAATTCTAACCAACAACAATTCGAAACAATGAAAGGAACTCGTTGTAAGTCAATTACTTGGAGTGCATGTGTGCGTATGTGTGCCTGTGGACGTGTGTGTGTGCACCTACTTGAAATTGATGTCAATTCGAAATTTATAAAAAGCTTACACCAACCAACAACCACCAACTACTAACTGCAATTGTGTACAAAAACAGTGTTTGTGCAAATTGAAATTTCGATAATCGAACTCAATTGATTGCGTGCAGCGCTAGAACGTATCTGAAAAGCAGAAAATGCGATACGCCTGAGGCAGCAAAGGTAACGTCCAAATAGTCGCACGCATTTTAGCGCAGTGGGCGCGTGAACGTGAACCGAGTGCGATCTCAAAACTGTTTCAGGGACAAGCAGCGAGTAAGTTCGAATTTTTTGCTAAAATTATATATACAAAAATGCTTCATAATTTCAAAAGGGTTTTTACAATTAACATTTCAAAATGAATAAAAGTGAAGTTAGTGCTTTCTTGTGATTCGAAATTTCTTTTTAATGTGGGAGTGTATCCAATATAAAATTTTTGTCGAAAATCGAGTTACGTTGTGTTATCAACCTAAAATTACTGATTATACAATATGCTCGTAATATGAAATTGGTCGCTGATAAGTAGTAATAGTGGTGAAATATTAGTTCCTTATCGATCATTCAATTCTGGCTGATAAATAGCAGCTTTGATATTGCGAATGTTTGAAAGAGCAAAAAATATTTATTATTTTATAATTAGCGAACTTCCTCTCTATTAGTATCAAATTAGACTGTCGAAATGTATTATAAATCATTAATAATAAAAAATTTTTTAATTTATTTTCGAAAAACAAATTATATTCAATGCTTGGTAATATTTAAATATTATCTTACAATTGAGTACAAATTGCGCTTACAAAATGTTTCTCAAATCTGTAAACTTTTAAATGTTCCCTKAAATAGAAATTAAATTAAGTTGTGTCAATGTTCGAAAATTGAAAACTATTTTTTTTTTTTTGTCTTCGAATTGAGTTCAAATAAAAATCATTAAATTACCTCAAATTGGTAAACTTTTAAATGTTCCCTCAAATCGAAATTAAATTAAGTTGGGCGAATGTTCTAGAATTTGAAAACAAAAAAATTAAATATTTTGCTTTAATCGATGTTAAACTAGGAATTGTGAAATTTTGAAAAAGTTATAACAGTTTCTTCATCAGTAAATTTTATTATATTACTTTAAATCGAAAATAAATTAGATAGTGCACATTATCGAAACGTCGAAATTTCAATCTTTTTTAAATTTTTAATGCAAATTCTTGAATTCGAAGCCAAATTAGATCGTTCTTAAATTTCTCCTTACAATCGGAAGTAAATTATATGTATTATGTGAATGTTCGAAAATCGAAATTCACTTCTTTATGAATTTTGATTATTTTTCTTTTAAATAAAATCATAAAGTCGATCATGGACATGTTCGAAAAACTTAAAATCATTACTTATTTATTAGAATATAAATAATTTAAATAAACCGAGTGTAAGTTGTAGAGTTATCAAAATAGTCATACATACATACATATACTGGAAAGTCTTAATTATTGTTAGGACCAAGGAGGATCAATTCACTTTGAAAATGAAACTAATGTAATTCAAAAGTACTGATAAAAGTCTTAAGTGTTTACTCTATCGCTATTCTCACAATGCCGTCAGGCAACCAACATTTCATCAACAAATAATTAAATTTTCCGGGTTCTGTACTTCAGTCCGGCCTCGTGCTGCCACTCGTCAAAATATGATAATATATTCCACACAAGTGAGCTATCACAGTATACTTAGGTAGTTTACAGTGCATTGTGAAATCTTGACATATTTTATAATTTGTCAACCGATCTTCAAATATATATGTTTTGTACAACAAAATTTTTATGCAGAAGTTAATTTTTAAACCGCTACTCCCACTAGATCTCTGGAAATACTATTTTACTTATACTTAGCTCGTATTCAAATCCTCGCCTAAGCTAAAAAATGTGAGTCGTCATTTTGAAACTTCGACACCTCATTTTTTTTATTACTTAAATAGTTATGTAGATATTACTCTATAATTTTTCTAATGCAACGGCATGTGCGAGAAGCATGTTTTTTTTCGTTCCTGCTATACGCATAGCAATATGCATTTAGCCTGCGCTAATAATCTGTGATTCGTCAAAGTTCGGAGACTGGCCAATCGAACACGTAACTGGTATAAATAAATTGGAAAAGGTTCCCCAGTGGGAATAATGTTGCTAGATTGAAAAGTTCTCCATATGCTCTTTTGCACTGTATTCTACCAGAAATGTAAATAGGGGTTTCATATAAAGTTATAACGAATCGAAAAGAGCTTATCTCAAACATTGATAGGGAGTGACGAAACGAAGACGTCTAGCATAATTTAACACCTGTATCGATGCTTTTGCTCATTATTTGTTAATTTTAGAAGCTATTGAAGCACTTTCTACGCAACAGTTTGTCCTCCAATTCATCGTGTGCCTTCCTTATACAGCACACTTGGCAGCATGCCCACTAAGTCAGCAATGTGCAGTTATATTTTTTTTTTGCGATTAAATTCGAAAGCAATTTCGAAATATCCGTTTCCAACTGACAGTTGCATTTTCAAAATCATCAATCAACTATTTAATTGGCCGCTGTTAAAGCCGAAATAAAATTTGTAATAAATATATAATAGAATGTGTGTATGTATGTTTTCGAAAGGGCGCAGGAGCATCAAAATTGCGCTAAATTAAATTTAAATCACTTCACAATAAAAGTCAATTTAGCATTGCAAATTGTTACTAATTCAATTTGTCGGCGCTCGACTCTCGCTGGCGCATTTAATTGGATTGAATTTATTTTTATTTTTGCGGTTTTTCGTTAAATTTAAATTGCACAATGCACACGCACACACGCACAGACACACATGTGAAAGCGCGCCTTCGTTGATTCATTGCAGAAACTATTTAAATTGACTTTTCTTCTTTTAGCCTTTTGTTGTTGCCTAATCTCAATTAGCTGTTTATTACAATTTGGCATATGTTTCGCGTTATTTGTTGTTATTGTTGTTGTTGTTGGCGGCATTGATTGTTTGTTTAACGCAGCGCTAATGGGCGTATTAACTGATGATATAGAATACTATATGGGAAATTCGGTTCACTTGTTGCGAACACATACATATATACATTAGAGTTGGTCGACTTTTCCTATAAAATCACATAAGCGGCAAATGTTCTACGTTCTGAACCTTTTTCTGAAAAACTTTGCCTAAGGGACTATGTTGAAAGCGGTTACTAGTCAGCGAATTTTTGGCTCCTATGTCTTCTGCTATCCAGTTGATCTAGCTGTAAGGTCAAAGTTCAACTTGCCGAAATTCTAGGGATTCTTACTGGTTGCTTTAAAATAGGCATTCATACGATATGGCTAAAAATGTTTTTGGACGGAAGTGGTCAAAGTTGTATGGAGCTGAGGCGGAAAGGCACTTTCTCCAACATTTTTCAACTTTTACAAGACTGAGATTGGAACATTTCGGCAGCCTTACCTTTCGCGACCCAAATGACATATGCCGTCACCACAAACATGTGTAGGCTCAAAGTGATATCTCGATTTGTATGATCTAATATATAAGAGTTTTAGGCAGCACAACAGACCAGCGTTCTAAGCATTCCAACTGAGATCTCTGTTACGATCGAACTCCTAACCTAACCTTACAGAGCTGAAAGTGGAATCGATCTTTTGAGCCGATTTGGATTGAGCTCAAGACACTTCTTCACCGTAAGAGTGTTGTAATTGTTTTCGATTTTTTGTACCAGTTATGGTAACTAATCTCGCTTAAGCTAGCCTACCGGGGTCTGGATCGGCGAATCCCGATGTGAGAACACAGAAATATATCAGCGCATTTCTTACAAATACATCGACATAAAAACTGAATTTTCTGATCTAAATTTATGCATCATACATTCAGTAGTGGCGTCGGACCTAATATAGTGTTATTATGTAATTTTCATATTTTCATAGAACTGTCGACCTGAGCTTTGACCGTCATTTCTTAGCACTATAAGTTCAGAGAAAAGTGGTAATGATCAGTTTAGAAAATACACTAGTCAATTGTTAAGTTCAATGCAATGTTGGGCGGGGGCGTTCAGATGGGGATTTAAAATATTCTGCAAAACTTTTCGTAGGATTTCATATCAAGGAACAAATGATGCCCTCCAAAGTAGTAGGTTTATATCACTTAATCCCCTGATAATTATCAATTTCCATAAAAAAAAATCAATGGAGTCACCGACAGATATTGATAGAAATTCATTTTTGGTAAATATCTACTTAAGACCTGTGAGAAAATCTTTGAAGCTAGACGTTTACAACGCCAAAGTTTGCTGCATTTCGCACATTTGAATTATTAAGCTCTTTTTTTGTGATTTCTCAGTTCAACACTTTATATTTGAGGTTTAAGCGGTCTTTGCATTAACTTAAACGCCTTTTGCTTGAGCTCGTTTGCCTCCTTTGCATCATCCACATTGCTGCGCCGAGTATGCCACTTTCCTCCATTACTTATATTCTCTGCTTCGGAACTTCGGCGTTGACCGCCAAAGCATGAGCACGAGCATAACTGCTCGTTTAACCGGTTTAAACATTTACCGGCAAATGTTATTCTTTTTTGTTGTTTGTTTGCTGCCGGCTACTTAAGCTTTGTTGTTGTAACACTTTACCGGCTTTTCGGGGCTTAGTCAGTTTTCCGCCAAGACGCGTCGCGCACGCTTGTGGCTTGTTTAAGTCGTCCCACCACAACTCTACATATGTATGTGTGTGGCGTTGGCGTGTTGCAAGCAAATGTTAGTTAATGCAACCACACCTCAAATCATGCCGACTCACGCTTACCCTTCCGCCGACCGCTGCCAATCACTCATCACTCAAGAAGCAAAAGTAGTGGCTGCAGTGGATTGATTTCGCTTGGTAAATTTTTGTCGGTTGCTTGCTTTTGCCGTTCACCAACGCCTTGCATCGAATTTCATGCTATTTGCCGGCGGAAGGCAACAGCAACAACAGCGCCTTTCAGAAGCAATGATGCAGAAGAAAGCGCCAACGCCCTAAATTCAACCGCAAATGCAGTGTTGTTGTCGATGGCGCGGTGTTTTCGCACAGCAACAACAACAAGCAGCGTCAGCAAAGGCCGCTTGTAATATGAGTGATATTAGCGCATTTAACCTCTTGCCGGCAGTAGGCGCAGTCCTGACTTTCCACAGACTTGCCAATATACACACACATACACTAACATATGTATATGCATATCTATGTATACAAACACGCTGGCAACGCGACAAAACCAATTCCGGTGATACTTCAAACAAACTGTACTAAGCCGTTGCCGGCCCGGCTGCCGTTATGGCGACAGTTTAAGCGTCGGCGCACCGGTTAAACGCTCGCTTATTGCATATATTTCCTTCTTTGTGCGCTTTGCACGCCGCACTCGTGCGCTTGCTTGTAGCGTGGGCGTTGCTGGTTATCCAAGCCGAGCTAGTTTGTAGTTTGGTTGCCACTACCGTTGCTTTGGTGCATCGATTTCGCCCGATTTGGTTTGCCTGCTCGCATTCCAAGACGCATTAGGCGTATTTCCTCAATCCCCAAACATCGCCCTGTTGCAATTAAACGCCCACCACTGTCTCACACACCCATACACACACTTTCCAATATTCCCACTTACCGCGCCGACCATTATGTCCCCACTTTGCCTCACAACAACCACAGTCCGGTTTGTGATAATTAAGCTCGTTTAGCAATTCTTGCAAGAATGTGTTAATTTATAGTTAAAAAAAGAACCGCTGCCCTTGAGAAATGCTGCCATATTTACAAAAAACAAAGAATTGTTTTAAATTAGCAAGTACTTAATAATAAACTGCAGCAAAGAGCGGATGTTATTAAAACGTATACTTATGTACATATGCTTTCCAACAAAATGTATATACACACAGGCATACAAACATACTATATAATATTTTATATTATAATACACATTTAATTGGTCCCGAAACGCCTTGACTTTGCCACTCAAACCGGTTCGTGGCATAAAGTCATTCTTAATTACTTAAGTCGTCAGAGGTGCTTCTTCGCCGCTTAAGAATACATACATATGTGTGTGTGTGTGTACCAGTACCAACTGCCCAATATTTGCATGCAAATGAAGTATGAAACTCATATGGTATGACCGATGATGGGCTTGTTTGTAGCATAGACATGGTTGCGGATCAAGTTGAGTGTCAATGAAACAGGTTCCAAATGTTTTTTCTTTCCTTTGCGCGTGTTTAGAATTCGAGTGGTTTCGATAAGACTCAAAGTGATAACAGTAGCAACTGAGTAATTAAGACTTGTTTTCGCGATGAAGTGAATATTTTTGTGCTCGCTTTAAAGTGGTTTCTATAGCAAGCACGGAAGGAGGTCGTTGGAGAGACGGAGCGTATTTCGTTCGTGTTTAGCTCTCTTGTTGTTTAAGAAGTACTGCTATTGTTAGTAGAGAGTAGTAATGCCAAAAATGTTATAAGTTTCTGTCTAACAGACTATACTATAGTCTTTGAAAGTCTATCCTATAGAAACACCTTTCTCGAATATTTAAGGAAGCGTCGGAGACCCTATCAAGTATATATATAAATGAACAGTATGTTGAGCTGAGTCGATGTAGCCATGTTCGTCTGTCTGTGTGTCCGTCTGTCCGTCCTTCCGTCTGTCTGTATATATACGAACTAGTCCCTCMGTTTTTAAGATACCGTTTTGAAATTTTGCAAACGTCATTTTCTCTTCAAGAAGCTGCTCATTTTTTGGAACTGCCGATATCGGTCCACTATAACATATAGCTGCCATACAAACTGAACGATCGGAAAAAAGTTCTTATATGGAAAACTTTTCATAAAAATAATGTAATATCGAAAGAAATTGTTCAGATATAGGCACACATATGTAAAACTATCGCATTTGACGACGTATCTTCACGAAAGTTGGCATGGATTACTGCTTAAGGTAATAATATAATCTCAGAGTAGCCCATACGATTTAAGAAAACCGGCAGTTAAAAATAATATTTCTAAAAAAGGTTCGCCACCTAATTAAAAAACGTATCCGTCAACATTCTTACTTAAACGAAAAAACATTTAAAAAGATTTAAGAAGGCTTACCACACACAGTATTTTCAACTAGATTGGTGGTAACCTGTTTAAATTTTTTAATTAAATTAATCAAAAGAGAAATTTAATAATGTAGGCATGAAATTCAACAAATTTAAAATACAATCTTATAACAAATTCTGAGAAATGTTGCCACGTGTTTGAAAAAAATAAAATAAAATAATAATAGTATATAAAATATACGGAAATGCTGACATGCATATCAAATTGATGATGTTTAGTTAAATATAAATAAATATTGTCGAATAGGGTTGCCACCGGTTTAAGATTATTTTAAGTGTTTGCAAAGTTGGAGTACACCATAATTTTTACATAAACGAATTATAACAATAGGTGTAAACTCAAGGACGTATAAAAGCTTACAAATACAAATATTTTTGGCATTGCCACCTATTTGCAAACAAGTTTTCTTTCTACTCCTTAAGATACATTAATTAACTGTTAAAAATAATATGCGGATCAAACTAAAAACGTTTGAAAAAATTAATTTTCACGAAAAATTGCCATTTGTTTCAAATATTTTATAAATATATTAATCCGATGTCATCCCAATTAATTTCATTGACCATCCCACAGCTCAGACTTCAGATATGTTATTATCGCTAATGCACTGTAGCGCACCTTCATCCGATCATATGATTCAAGCTTTATTTATAATCCAAGTTATTTCTTTTTATTAGTAGCACCATAAAAGAAAACTTAAATACCCCCCAGTGCAAATAACATTGCAGCATATTTTATCACCTTTTATTATGTTTATGAGTGCTTTATCTGAGAATTTATTATCACACATTACCAATGGGTTTACGCATATTGTTCGGTTAACTGGGAGGCGTCATATTAAGTCTACTTATCTGGCAGAATATCTTATCTTATCGGTAATTTTAATGGGGACACAAAAATAGTATTAACAGGAAACTAAATATTTTTGTATGTAATTGTAATAGTATTTTGCAAACAACAAAAACCTTTTAACATTGGAAAGGAAGAGGAAAGAAGATGATACTAGAGAAAAGTGGTGAAGAAACCACGCGCAGCGCTTGGCTTGGTGTCTGCGAAGCTCAAGAAATTCGATTAATCGAACGGATAACTCTGTTTCAGAGAAATTTTTCTTGTTGGGATGGTGTTTTTTGCACAGAAATTTAGGAAAAGAGAAGGAGGCACAGATCGCAGGATTCTAAAACCTGTTTTAGTAGCCAAAAGCTAAATAAACTCGGTTAATCGAGCTATACACTTCGTTATTTCCGTTTATCTTTTTTAACTAATTAATATTTTAAACTCCACTTTGTTGGAGAGATCAGGTAGAGAATCTGGCTGCACTAAATATCTCGAAACGGCGCCGAATTCGAAAGAAATATAGCTTAAAGCTCATCTGTTAAAATCTATACACAAAGATTACATTTTAGACAACTTGACTTTTATTTGTAAATAAAATAGGGAACTGCAGCGTTTTTTGTCACTCCAGCAATACTAACAGAATTGTAACGTCACGTGTTAAGTAATTCCATATAATATTTAATCCAATATATTTTCAAAATATAATTATAAAAAATATAGTAAAATATTTATTCTCTTCATTTTCGCGTAGTTACCACAATCAATCAACAAATATATAAATAATGGCCGATGAAGCACAAGCACCACCACCAGCCGAGGAGGCGCCACCAGCAGAGGGTGCCGAGGGCGCGCCCGCCGAAGCGGCCGCTGATGCGCCACCAGCTGAACCCATCAAACACTCCTACACCCTCTTCTACTTCAATGTGAAAGCATTGGCTGAGCCGCTACGTTATTTATTCGCCTACGGCGGCATCGAGTACGAAGATGTGCGTGTCACGCGTGACGAGTGGCCGGCACTCAAGCCGAGTAAGTAGTCGCCACGACCCACTTTTATTAGCAGCAGTATAACTAATACGTTTCCTCTCTTTCTCACCTCATTTCTCTCTCTTCCTCACTTTGTCTCGCGGTGGCGTCTTCACAGCAATGCCCATGGGTCAAATGCCAGTACTGGAAGTTGATGGCAAACGTGTACACCAGAGCATTTCGATGGCCCGTTTTTTGGCTCGCACAGTTGGCCTGAACGGTGCCACACCGTGGGAGGATCTACAAATCGATATTGTTGTTGATACCATCAACGATTTCCGTCTAAGTAGCGAACAATGTGTGCGCTTGCATGTTGCGTGTTGTTTTGATTAATTTTTATTTTAATCTATAGAAATTGCAGTCGTCTCCTATGAACCAGAGGATGATATCAAAGAGAAGAAACTCGTAACACTCAATACCGAAGTCATTCCATTCTATTTGGAAAAATTGGAACAGACTGTTAAGGATAATGAGGGACACTTCGCATTGGGAAAGGTGAGTCGAATCATTGTGAATCCCCAAAATGTCAATTGAGTTTGATTTTTTCAGCTATTACGACTAAGAATAGGCTAAGTAAACAATTGGTAGATCTGCTTAGTTTCAATTTCTTCAGTCATTTGTGGGTCTGGCACTCGGATCATTCAAATGTTCTTTTTGAGCAACTCCTGATTCAAAATAGATTTTAAAAAGGTGCCTTTGTCGACACTGACCACAACTGACTGAATTCTACCACATACCGCACCCTAATAGCAAGAGTATATCCGATCACACTCAATTTAATCTCGACCTGTACGGTCAGAAAATGGAAATCATATAGCGGTAGTTTAATGGTATTATATTCTACAGAAATATCCAAGTATACCTTATTAAGTTGAAGCTGTTTACAGTTCAGAAGACTTATATAGCGGCACTTTTAAGAAAATATTATAAACAAAACTTTTGTAATTAGCTTTAACCCAGGATAAATATAGCATATTGTACGTAAATCTGATTGCATCCATGACAATTATATGATTCGATCTTCGTAGATCGATTTTAAACTCCGAGAGTTCGGTAACTATCTTCGTATATAAGCGATAGTCGGCTTTCAAAATGGCTTGGTTGCAGTATGAATAAAGAGTATATAATAAGTCTGATTGCTTAAATAATTATTGATTGAGGGCCCAAAAATTAGTGCTCCACGGATTATAGAGTTATTATAAAAAACAAAGCTTACGATGGAATATGCAATTTACTAAAGGGAAATTATGAAGAAGAGGTACATAAATGTAATTTCTATAACACCAATATATATTTCAGATAACATGGGCCGATGTCTACTTCGCCGGTATCATCGATTACATGAACTACATGGTAAAGCGCGATCTGTTGGAGCAATATCCAGCGCTGAAGGCTGTCGTTGATGAAGTCAACGCATTGGAACCGATCAAGGCCTGGATCGAGAAGAGACCCGTGACTGAAGTTTAAGGCAAAAAAACATAACAAATTAATAATATTTAAATGAAAGCTGATATAATTTTGAATAACAACTATAAAACACCTGGAAGAGAGTCGTACTCCTCATAGCATTGGAAGTGCTCAATTAAACAAAATGGCGTGAGGAAGAAGAACATATGCTTAACAGCAAAAAAATACTATTCTAAACATCACATAAATAATATTTGTAGAAAAGCCATGCTTTTTGAACACACACACCAACATATATACATTTTTACGGATTTCCATGATAGGCAACAACAATAACATTTATTAAAAAATAAAAAAACATCTTAAAAACAATATTGATCTACATGACACTTTGTTCCTTTTTTGTGTACTTTGTAACGGTAATTAATTGTGACCTAATATTATTATATAACGGAAACAAATAATAACACAATTATAGCCAATAACTGTTTTTGTTGTACTAAAACACATTAACAGTTCTGTCATTAAATTTTAATTAGAAAAAAATGTGCATTAGTGTGGGGCATTTCATGGAGGAGTTGGGAATACAGTTATTCTTTAGTTTAACAATCTTACTTTCCTATTATTATTATTAATCTTTTTACATTCATTTTTTTAATTAATTTCTTCTATGTATATTTTTAAAATATTTTATATATTTTTTAACTTTTTATATATTTTTTAATATTTTTATAACATATTTTCTGTTATTTAGTGTGACAAAAATTTGTGTTCCTATTGAGAATTCAAATCTATTTTGAAATTACGTAACTGAAATTTTCAATTTTTTGATAAATACTTGTAATTTTCAAATACCTCTATTAAAATGTTTGATTTTTAAATAAGCATTTTTATTACAAATTACTTTTCTTACGTAAACTAATGTTAAAAAAAGCAAAAACATTCTAATATAATGGAAATTTTTGTATCAAATTTATTGATTTTATCTCTTGAAAATATTAAATGGAAAAATTGAAAATTGAGGTACATATGCGCACTAAAATTTTTTATTTTCTTTATTTATATTCTTTTATTTTTTATTTCTTATTTATTATTATATTAACTTTTTTTATCATATCATTTCTTATACTATTTTTAGTGGCAAATTAATTCCTGTGCAGCCTATAACACTTATATAACTTACATATTTCATTTTAAAGAAGTGTATTTCCATAATATGTTTGCCTCATTATTTTTAACTATTTTTAAACGCTATTTTTCTTATTAAAAACTATTTTTGTTGTATTAAAAATAAAATACTTTTAGTCTAATTAATAACTTACTAAATAATTCTCTTTGCATTCAATTCTCTAAGCACTCTAGCGCTCACTAAAACACCAAAAGCAAATTAAAGCAACATATTAAAAAACAATTGCTTAATTGCTTTTAGTGCTTAGTAAGATTTAGTTAATTAGTTTTCTATAAAAAATAAATTTGAAAATTTTAAAAGTTTATTATAAGCGATAGGCTCCACAAGCAAAACAACTACAAAACAAGCTAAGCATGCACGCACAGTTGTATGGATACACATATACATACATATGAACATAGACAGTTTATGCAGGTTTGTAATATTATTGCTTGCGTGCATGCTTAAACGTTCCTACATACATAAATTAACATCTCCTTACGGGTTAATGGTTTACATATATATTACTATTATTAATAAAAATTAATATAAAACATATATAAGTAGATTGTACGCAAGTATTCTAGTGCCAACTTACAAAAAAAAAATTATAATTTGATCCACATTTAAATTGTACTCTAATTTTAAACTAACAAACATTGCAAATGAACACACTTGAGTGTCGGTAAAAATTTGCAAAAGTGCTAATAACAATATAAAGAAAAGCTCACCATTGCCACTATCAACGAAGCACTCATTATCAGAAAATATTTTAAAATCGCAGACTCAAATTCAATCTCATTAAACACTCACTTAATAACACATATGTAAAATCAAATGATCAGAAGAACAACAAAAAATTGCATCCGAATGCCAAAATTATTGCACAACGAACCAACGCAACTACACCGAGCAACACAACTATTGAGATGTACCCTGAACAAGCTACCAAAACAAACACGCAAAAGAAAACACTAGAAGAAGAGCAGTAAAATAATTTAAAAAACAAGTTTGCAAATATTAAGCAAATAAAAAGTGCAAATATATGCATTAAATTGTTGAACAAATAACAATCATTTTGACAATGAAAAATATTAACAAATTCGTGTTAATCAAAGCAGCATAGAGAAGAAGCAGCAAGTAGGCAGTTAACATCAATTTATAATTTAAACAGTGAAAGAAAGAACACGCAAATTAGATTGATACAAAGTTAAATACAACACCAAAATACTAAAATTTTGAAAACAGTCGTTTTTACCGTGTAATGAAATTTCCTTTAATTGTACTTTTCTGAGAAAAAATAACAAAAGTGGCAATAAAGAAAGCATACGGAGAGTATTTGTGTTTCATTTCCTTTTCAAGTAATATTTAATTTAAATACTACTACAGTAAAAGCAACAGTTATTCAAGCAAGACGGCGAAAGACGGTCAAGCCGGTAGAGTTAATTTTTTGTTTACCGATTCAGGCAGGGAATAAATCTTCGTAATATCAGTTCATGGTCGAATAATATCTAGATTAATTTCAGTACCGTAGAACCGGCTGATTTGGGAATTTCGTTCTGAATATAGAAGTAAAGCTCCTACCTATCCAAGAATTTATAGTCCTACTAAACACATATTCTGCAACCCCGCACTGCATAACCTAACTGCCTTACTAGGCACCACCTGCTTTCGTACTTACAATTCACACACTGGATATACATACCATATATAGACATATTTCAAAATTAATAACACTCACTTCACAATTCAGTTCACCACAAATATTTATTACAAAAATAATTTCCAATATCATGAAAGTAAGTACTTGTACCGTTAAACCCGCTACTGTACTAAGCTGATGACAGCAGGAAATATGTATAGTTATTAACTATATACAATCTATATTTTATTAACTCTTTAAGACACAAAATAAATGCATTTGAGTTGCAAATCGAGCCACACACATCCATAAAATGCGCGATTTAACAACATTTGTTTAGGAAATCAAGGCAACCAACTTAATTTCAACAATTAATTAACACGAATCACTTCTTATTGAAATTTGGTTTGCGCTTCTCAACGAAGCTCTTTAAACCCTCTTGCGCATCTTCCATACCGATATTTTTAACCATTACCTGCAATTTAAACAAACCAATCATTATGTTAAGAAAAACGTATATATATATTAATACATACGTCTGTGCCTTGATCGTAAGCATCCTTGACACTCAAGCCCAATTGCTTATAGTAAAACTTTTTACCCATGGCTAATATAGCGCGTGGTTTCTCCTTTATCGATTGTGTTATTTTGTTAGTTTCAGCATCTAATTGTGCTTCTGGCACCACAACACTAGCTAAACCTTAATTTAGATACATTTTATTAAAACTCTAAAAACAAAAAGTATTGTGCAGCTTTTACCTGCCGTTAGCGCGTCCTGTGCGTTGATAGGGAAACCAGTAAAGAGCAAGTAAGAGGATTTCATACGTGGCATAACACGCGATATGGCAATACCCGGTGTAGTGCAGAATATACCAATGTTAACGCTGAAGTAGATCATTAAACAATTATAAAACAAACAAATAAACGTTATCTGCATTTAACACTCAAAACCACTCCTGAAGATTACATACCCTGAAGCAGCAAAACTGGCTTTATCAGATGCCACAACCATGTCACATGAAGCAGCCAACTGTAGACCTGCAGCAGTTGCCATGCCATTAACTTTCGCTATAATTGGCACGGGCGATTTATAAATGTTCAATATTATATCAACAAGTTGACTGAAGATCGCATGCCCGCCATCGCTGGATGCCGACTGTAATAAATTGATTAAGATGATAAGTCATTAACATAGCTATGTATATTAATATGTAAATATTCAAGTACATACGATTTCCTTCAAATTATGTCCTGCTGACCACACTGGACCGGTAGAACTAATTACAATACAACGCAAACTTTCGTCATGCACATCCTTTGTAATGCCGTCAAATATCGATGACATTACTTCGCAAGAAAGTGTATTGCGTGCTCTTGGATCATTCAAAACGATTTCACGAACACCATCGCTTTGTTTAATTATTGTACTTTGTTTCCGAAAGCTTCCAATTTGCATCGAAGCCGTCGCGGCTGTTGCAGCTAAATTTGAGCTCTACAAAATAATAAAAATTCTAATATATCTGTTACATACATTCTTTCATTTGCTTACCTTAGCTAACGTCGTAGAAATCACTCGCAACATTTTTGCTTAATAATGGTAAAACCGTAATCGTTGCGAATTAAATAGTCACACTGACAGCTCAATTAGAGATAAGTAAATCAGCTGTTAATGCAGTGATAACAACAAATGTTTACATACCTAGCCAAGGCCCCATAAGAAAAGTAACAAGTACTTGAAGCCAATTGATATACGTCAGGAAAATTGAAGCATACTGTTTCCCTTTTGACTGGTAATAATATATTAAATATATATATTACTAACTGCCCAACATGAAAGCAAATTTGAACTCAGAAGCCAAACTATTTGACACTCCAACTTCAAGTCAAACTAAATAATTTTGAATATACACCGTCTTACGTAAACTCGTAAACTCGTTTTGTAAACATAATATTTAAAGTGAAAATTACTTAAAAGACTCATACGTAAACATATGAACATGTACGGTTCCAGTTGTTGTTGTTGTTGTAGCGGCAGAATTATGCCGAGTTGACAGTCCTTGGCCGAATACAAATCCGGGTCCGTTCCGGTTACGTACACTCGACTGTCGTGTGAACGGGTTATGGTCATGTACAGTTCTTTGTTCCCTTCCCTTTGAATGTCCAATTCTTTCCAGAATGAATCGCAATTATAAGTTTAAAACTATGACAATTATTTGATTAATTTGAACACACATATATTTGAAATATATAGCGATTATTAAACAATTATTTAAATTATAACTTTTGCAGTCAGTTGCCAATACTAAAACTCATTCACAATAGAGATTTGGACCGCAACAATAGCAAAGTTCACTATTGTTTATATGAACAAAATAAAACAGCTGCTTCTGTTTCAAGAGATATATTTATGTTTTATTGTTTATCAATTGAGAAAAGTACTATTGAATTAGCAAAAATTTTAACAAATATGCAATTGGTATTCAATATAATTAACTATTTGAAAGCAGCATAAATAATATGTACAGTGTCTTCAAATTACATGATATTATCAAATCACCAAGTTCAAATGTACTTAATTATTAAAGTGTAGTAAATAAGGTAAACAACCAGGGCATATTAAGTGATACGGGAATGATAGTTTACTAACTAATGTTGTTCTTTTTTATATAAATATACATAGTTTTGTTAAGTTGTAAATGTTAGTATTGCAGGTCAGCGACCACTACTTGATTCATAAATCAGTATAAATACATAACCATATGTACGTGAGATAAGAGCAAATAAAAAAGCAATAAAAACAAAAGAATAATAAGACCGTCAGTATGCGCTTTTTATGAAACGCTGCTGCAATATTTGTTGCTATCAGTTAAACAAAGAAATTTTACATTAACTTTATCATTTCTGCTCTTTATTTCATGTGCTTTCTCAACAACTAAACGATTAGGAACGACGTGCTACACTATAGTATATAGCAGTGCGGCAAGCTTTCTGGTGAATTGATAGCTTCACACTTAGTTATTAACACGCTTTCAACGGGTAAAAAAGCAAGCAATATTCAACCGCCGTCACCGCGAATATATATATAAAAACGCTTAAAAAAATCCACTGTACATACATAAATTAGGAAAGTAACGAAAAGTGATAATATAAAAGTACAAATTCCAAACCCAACGATAAGTTGCAAACATGAAACCATACCAGGATTGTGGACCAATAACAAGTGGACTTAATCGGGCATTCGGCAATAAAGAACCGTGGCAAGTAGCAGCCATTACAGCGACAACAGTGCTGGGCACTGTTTGGCTATGGACATTCATCAATCAGGATGAGAGTGAGTAAACATTATATAATTTGAAAGTGTAATTCATTGTTTTTGCATTTGATCTAAAGAAACTAGCTCAATTGATAACATTTCGCAATCAAACTCATAAATTAAATCGCAATCAAGTACTAATTGATCTGCAAATGCAAAGTAATTTTTTATGCAGTTGCAAAAACTTTTCATTTACATTGTTTGCAATCTTGGACGTCATTTATTGGTATTTTATTTTTTGCCATTTCAGCCAATATAATCTAACGCGCTAGTGCAGTGCCTTCGTACTCATGCACCCTGCAAAATTATAAATTTTCCTTAATATTTATTTTAATCAGCAATCGGCATGACTTTACCACTGATAAGCCTCCATAATCGCTTAGGAAAAAAGCTTATCAATGAAAATTTGTGCGTTCGCTATTTTTTGGAAATGAACTAAATTTAAAAATAAAAAATAGATTAGCGCATTTTGAAATAACAGAAATATAAAAAAAAATGTATCATGGGTTAGTAAGTTATTTTATTTTACCATTGTGCTTGTTTATTACTATGTTCATGCTATAACTCACCAGATGATGATAATTAATTTAGTTTTTTATGCACTTTTTCAACCTTTGTACTTTGAATCCTAGCGAAAGCAACGTACCCAGCCTAAAATTAATTTAATACTCCACCTGCAACGAAGCTTCACACTTCACAAATGTATTTGCCATACATGTATAACTATTTAGTAAATCTGTAGTAATCGGTCGACGGTTTGTATCCAATCGAAAACGTTTCGCTAACTCTTTCTAGTTACATTGTTTGAAATAAATAACCTTCAAGTTAAGTTAAGGTTACTCAATAAGGAAACAATATTTTTTTTAGACAATCGTGGTAACGGAACATCAACGGCTCGACTCTTAATGTTATAAATACTTTATAGTTCCTCAGATTTTTTTCTTTCGGGGCGTGCAAAATTTCGTAGCAAAATTAATATACCTTTTTCGGCATATAGATAGATAGATAGATACATAACTGAGGAATGCACTGCGACCATAGGTCTATTGTGCCCTCTCCTAACTCACAGGGACTCGCTTAGCCCCAGMATATTGACGAAGTCCAGTATTTTGCTGGGTGCTAGCGAGGCGATGTGATCCCTATCCGGAAACATGGCTCCAAGGGCCTTCGACCTGCGCCTACAGACTGCAATGCAGTCGATTAGCAGGTGCTCCGCGGTTTCAGGGTCCCTGTCGCAAAACCGACAGTTGGCGCAAGATGATAGGAACATGTTAGTTAAGTGCCTTTTCAGCTTGCAGTGGCCGGTATAGAATGCAACCAGGATCCTGAGGTTGTTTCTTGGGAGGTTAATTAACGATTTAAATCTTTTTTGGTTATACCCCCCAACTAGCAGCTTGGCATGACGCATACCGTGCGCTCGCTGCCAATACCTTTCTTCCTTGCGGAGCAGCTACTTCACAGTGTGGGGACCCACCGCAATGAATGGTTCGGGCCCAACCATACTGGTGGAGGCTGCGGAGCRGGCTAGCTCGTCAGCCAGTTCGTTGCCGGCTATGCCMCTGTGGCCGGGCACCCAGATTAGGTGCACCCGGTTCTTTGTAGCTAGGTTGTTCAATCGTTCTCTGCACTCCTGCACCAAAAGCGATTTGATCTCGTCGGAAGAGATCGCTTTCAGTGACGCTTGACTATCGCTGAGTATCGCTATGCGCTCGTTGCGATAGTTGCGGCATATAAAAATCTCTTTATTAATTAATGCCGCATCATTCAGTATTTTCTTTTATTCGGGCGACTGCAACCTAGTAAATATTTGTTTTTCTTCCTTCGGCATAACCATTCATTTAGTCGCTTTCACTACTTTTCAGGCCTCTTCGTTCGTGGCAAACGGCAATTTTTCCACTTGGTCAAGAAACTGCCGGTCGTGCGCCGTAAAATCGACGCTGAAATCTCAAAGGCCAGGCGGGATTTTGAGAGTGAAATAAGTAAAAGCTGCAACGATCTCAGCTGGTCGCTGGAATTACCGGCTAACGGACTGAGCCGCGATGAAATTCTACAACTAGTTGATAAACACTTAAATATTGGACACTATAATTGGCGTGAGGGGCGTGTTTCGGGTGCCGTGTACGGTTTCAAAGCAGATCTAGTCGAACTGATAACCGAAGTATATGGCAAGACATCATACACGAATCCATTGCATCCCGACATCTTCCCCGGCGTATGCAAAATGGAAGCCGAAGTGGTACGCATGGCGTGTACGCTTTTTCATGGCGATGCGAATAGTTGCGGCACGGTGTGTTTTATGCAAATTGAATTTTTATCACATATATTTATCTGCTACCTTTTCCACTTCTTCGCAGATGACCACCGGCGGCACCGAATCCATATTGATGGCGTGTAAAGCATATCGTGATTATGCGCTTGAAACGCGTAATGTGCAGCGTCCGAACATGATTGTGCCGAGAACAGTGCATGCGGCGTTCGACAAGGCAGCTCAGTACTTCAAAATACATATAATTTATGTAGATGTGGATCCGAAGACGTTGGAGGTGGACGTGCAGGCAGTGAAGCGTGCAATTAACTCCAATACGGTACTGGTAATGTATCGAAACATGCGATTTTCTATTTGGAATTTAACAAAAAAAAATTTAACTGTAAATTTCCCATAGCTGGTTGGTTCAGCGCCAAATTTCCCTTACGGCACCATCGATGATATTGAAGCTATTGCTGCTTTGGGCCTCAAATACGATATACCGGTGCATGTGGATGCTTGCCTGGGCAGTTTTGTTGTTGCGTTAACCAGAGAAGCTGGCTATAAAATCAAGCCATTTGACTTTTCCATCAATGGCGTCACCAGTATTTCAGCCGATACACACAAGGTGTGCAAATCCATTTTTTGCCAACTATTGTACAGTGTTTATAATAAATTGTCATTTAGTATGGTTTTGCACCTAAAGGATCCTCCATCATACTTTACTCCGATCAGAAGTATTTGAACCATCAATTTACCGTAACCACCGATTGGCCGGGCGGCGTGTATGGCTCACCCACCGTGAATGGCTCCCGTGCAGGTGGCATTATTGCTGCTTGCTGGGCAACTATGATGAGTTTCGGCCATGAAGGCTATCTGGAGGCGACTAAACGCATTGTGGACACATCGCGCTACATAGAGGCGGCGTAGGAAATTCATTTTTATTTAAATTAAATTAAAATCTGTGAATTTGTTTTGCAGCATACGCAAAATAGATGGTGTCTTCGTTTTTGGCAAGCCCGCTACATCCGTTGTCGCTATTGGTTCTAAGGTCTTCGATATTTTCCGTCTGTCGGATGCGCTATGCAAGCTGGGTTGGAAT